TCAGAGGCGCGCGCTACCACGCCCGGCTAATTTTTTGATTTATTGTAGAGATGAGGTCTCGCCAAGTTGCCCAGGTGGGTCTCGAACCCGCAGGCTCATGCAATCCACTCACCTCAGCCTCCCAATGTGTGTTATGTTTTCAGTATGAAGACAGAAGGCAAAAACATTGATTATAAAACTGAGAACTATCAGACCCTGGTGACTCCCCTGAGACTTCAGACAGCCACTGCCAGGTTAATAACAGCAGGCAGGCGAAGCAGGGCCTGCAGTGCAGGTTTTCACAACGTGTTGGGTTTTTTGGTTATTCTTGGTTTCTTTTGAGTAGGAGTCTCGCTCTGTCACCCAGGCTGGAGTACAGTGGCATACTCGGCCACTGCAGCCTTGACTTTCTGGGCTCAGGTGATCCTTCTCCCTCAGCCTTTCAAGTAGCTGGAACTACAAGTATGCACCACCATGCCCAGCTAAGTTTTTGATTTATTGTAAGAGGTGAGGTCTCACCATGTTGCCCAGGCTGGTCTCGAACCCATGGGCACAGGCAATCCTCTCGCTTCTGCCTCCCAGAGTGCTGAGATTATGGATGTGAGCCACTGTACCTGGCCTGGTTATTCTCTATTAGATTAAAAAATTACAAAAAAAATGTTTATTATTGTAAGTTAAGTAATGAAGACATGGAAAGAAAAGGCTGATCTTTTTTTTTTTTTTATTTTTTATTTTATTTGAGTTGGAGTCTCACTCTGTCGCCCAGACTGGAGTGCAGTGGCTGCTCCCGGCCACCGCAGCCTCGAACTGCTGGGCTCCGGTGATCCTTCCACCTCAGTCTTCCAAGTAGCTGGAACTACAGGCGTGCGCTACCACGCCCGGCTCATTTTGATTTATTGTAGAGATGAGGTCTCGCCAAGTTGCTCAGGCGGGTCTCAAGCCCGCGGGTTCAGACAATCCATTCACCTCAGTCTCCCAAAGGCGCAGGATTACAGGCTGAGCCACCGAACCGGCTGAAAAGACTGATCTTTACATGCCTTCTCCTGTGCTGTCTCCTTAAGGTAGTCAGGGTTCATCGCTCCTGCCACACTCTTCTCTTCATTTACACAAATATGCACGTGTAAGGTAGTGTTATTTGTTTTTAAAAGAGACTGGGATTATGCCACGTACATTCCTATATTGGCTTGTTTGTCCCTATTTTTTTTTGAGTTGGAATCTCACTCTTTGTCACCCAGACTGGAGTACAGTAGCACGCTCATGGCCACTGCCGCCTCGACCTGCTGGGCTCAAGCGATCTTTCGGGCTCATGTGATCCTTCGTGCTCAGGCAATCCGTTGAGCTCAGGTGATACTTCTGCCTCAGCCTTCCACGTAGCTGGAATTACAGATGCATGCCATCACGCCCAGCTAGTTTTTTTTATTGTTGTAGAGACGAGATCGCACCAAGCTACCCGGGCTGGTCTCGAACCTCCAGGCTCAGGCAATCCTTTTGCCTCAGCCTCCCAAAGTGTTGGGATTACAGGCTGAGCCACTGTGCCCAGCCCTTTTTTTTTTTTTTAACTTAACTACATATGTTTCTCCCTCTAGGTCAGTTATGGATTCAACTCGTTCTTCATTTTTAGTCAATATATCAGACATATTATCTTGTTAATTTATTTTTTTATTTTTATTTTTGATTTGGAGTCTTAAATCTGCTGCCATGGCTGACTGGAATGCAGTTGCACGCTCACAGCTACTGCAGCCTCAACCTTTTGGGCTCAGGTGATTTTCCACCTCAACCTTCCAAGTAGCTGTAACTACAGGTGTGCACCACCAAACCTGGCTAATTTTTTTGATCTGTTGTACAGTCGAGGTCTCACCATGTTGCTCAGGCTGGTCTCGAACCCCAGGCTCAGGCAATCCTCTCTCTTCCTCTTCCCAAAGTGCTAGGATTACAGGCATGAGCCACTGCACCTGGCTTGTTAATTTACTATTACTAGAATAAGCAGTATACTTAATGTGAGTGAAAGCAGTATGCTGTTAGAAGGTAGGTAGTATAAAGTCTTACTCGTATTTCTTTCTCTACATTTTCTTATATACATTTTCTTATATATCCTTCCACTATTGCCCTATGCAAATACTAGCACATACATCTGCATGTATATGTTTGTTTTTTCCCTTCCGTAAAATGTAGATACTATTCACTAATTAAATTAAAAAATATATAATTTTCTGCCAAATGGATCTATCTTAATTTATATAACTATTCAAGATTGGATTTTTAATAATGTTACACTTCTTTGTAATAGACTGTAACCTGGTGCAAGAGAAGGAAACTCTATGAGTGCAGAATTGACCAAATCAAGTAAAATTTTGTTTTTATTTTTTTAGTCAGTTTGTTTTTTAAAGAGCTCTGGATTAGATTGAGAGAGAACCAACTCTTTAATATCCTATCTTGGTGCCCAGAGAATATACTGAGGGTGGGAACAAATATTACTTGCTCTAGGTCATTACATCCATGCAGCTAGTTGGTGGCAAAAGTAGATTAGGGTTAGGATGACTGTGACTGCCAGTGTTTGGGTGACAGTAGGTAAGTCGAAGTGACTTTTTAGTAAAATCAACTGTTAGGTTGGGTAGCCATCCACATACTTACTGGACTCAGACTGACTTGCCAGATTTCTCATCTGTTTCTGCTTCTTGTGTTCTCCACAGGTTGTTCCTCCAAAAGAGTGGAAACCCCGAATATCCTATGATGATATTGATGATTTGATCATTCCTGCCCCCATCCAACAACTGGTAACGGGGCAGTCTGGCCTCTTCACTCAGTACAACATACAGAAGAAAGCCATGACTGTTCGTGAGTTCCGCAAGATAGCCAACAGTGATAAGTGAGTGGAAGCCCTTTCTTAACTGTCATAGCACCCAGGACCCAGGGTCCCATCCTCATAGTATCTTCAAGACAGCTACTGTCCTGCCAAACAACAATGTCCTCTCTCTGTTTTAGCTCATGTCTCCCTCTCTGCTTGTTATGGAAGCATTTCCTCCTCTCAGGCCAGTGTCACAGTCTAAACCTATTTTCTTTCTTATTTTTATTTTTGAGTCAGGGTCTCACTCTGTCACCCAGGCTGGAGGGGAGTGGCACAATCACTATAGGCACTTACCACCATGCCCAGTGGCTTTTTTTTTTTTTTAAGAGAATGATCTTGTTGTGTTGCTTAGGCTGGTCTCGAACTCCTGGCCTCCTTGAGCAGTCCTCTTGTCTTAGACTCCCAAAGTGTGAGGGTTATAGGTGTGAGCCACCATGCCCAGCCTTTTTTTAATGAGATGGGATCTCACTCTGGCACTCAATTCAGTGGCACTATCATTGCTCACTGCAGCTGCAAACTACTGAGCTCAAGTGATCTTCCTGCCTCAGCCTCCCAAGGAATCAGGACTGCAGCTGCATGCCCCCTTGCCTGGCTAATTTTTTTTTAAAAAGAGACAGGGAGCCGGGCTCGGTGGCTCAGCCTGTAATCCCAGCACTTTGGGAGGCTGAGGTGAGTGGATTGCCT